GGGAAGAATTCACTCAGGGACAAAATTTTTAAAGAACCCTGACTGTTTTCATGAAGTAGTATAAGTCATTAGTCAGCATCGAATATCCATAACTTATGTATATCCGAAAGGACACCCCTCGTCTACGAGTGCAGGTTAATAAACAACACGCCTTCGACTGTTTCTGAGTTCAATTTAATCTTTCGAATTTTGGATTTTATCCCAGCAATCCTATTGTGTACTTGTTACTTGTACTTAGGGTGTAAACTGTGACTGTTTGTCTTTTTGATCATGACACAACCTATGACTTAAAGCAAAAGTGACCTCCAAACGAAGGATATTTAAAAAGAGCGTAATGTGATTACGCGCTGGACTATTGTTTCGTGCGTTCGTGTCAGACTCTGATGCCTTCCTTAAAACTATTTAGAAGGACTTGGAAGTACGCCGAAGATGAGTTTGTTTCTTCCAGCATTGTGCAGGCAATTATTCGGCTCCCTCTGTGAGTATTTATGAAAATAATTGATGGTTCAATAGGATTATTTTAGCAGGAATTCTAATACATAACGTACAAAAGCAAGCAAACGACACTGTGACAGTATGCTTTAAACATTCGTCACACACTGCTCTGTTTTAGACAGGAATTGTTTGGTATATAGCTGGGGCGTTAGCGTTGTGTATTCTTGAGATTACTCTATTCTGCACTATGGCCGGAATAAGTGCACAAGGCGGCGTCCTAGAAGTTGGAAGGCGGCGCCCACTTCCTTACATTATTGCTATTCATCTTATTGTTCTACCATTTGAACTGGTCTCATACTGTTTGTCAGTATGGAGCATTGTTGACAAGAATGCTAAATATACGACCGTAAGTAGTTTATACTTTCGATCGAAAAATGCGTTTCAAAATTTTTCCTTTTATGACGGTTCGCATCTTTTGCTTTACAATATTTAGTTTGATTTTTTGATTTGCCTATAGTGCGGTAACGCTATATCCTTTTTAGGCCCGGATTTCCTTTCGCACTGTAGATTAATCTACAGTACGATTGTATGGGTATATTAATTTGTATGTTTAAAATTTTAAACATAAAAATTAATCTAACCATACAATCGTAAAAGGCGGATTCTTTTGAAGTCCAGCAAGGTAAAGCCTAAAAAAGGGAAAAGAGGGTGGTTGCTGAATCCAATTAGTGTTTAATGGATTGCTTCGCGTCCAATGGAAATCTTATATAATGAGTGAGAAATTATGTAAAGAAGTAAATGTAGGAAAATAGTTTAAGCATATTTTTGTGGTCTAGTATTGACCTTAATTGGAGAAGAGTCCAGGCAGAAAGTGATCTTTATTACTACTTATATTCACAGTAAAGTAGGGCAGGTGACATGGGGTAGGTGAGTTGCGGATGTTCAGTATAAAATTGACAATTTAAGAGAGAAATTACATAAGTAGGAGATAGTTGGCCTGCTGTTAGGTTACTCGATCATTCTAAACATTACTTGTCTGCCAGCACACGCCGTCGCTCAGGTAGAGCTTAAAACTGGGCTAGGCAGAGCTAAAGTCACCGTGCCGTGGTGTTTTGTTTAAGTATAAGGCAGAAAATATAGCAACATGCCGTATTTGGTAGCAAAAGGAGCCATTTTCTCGTTTGTTGATTTTTCGATAAAATTTCTCTTTGCTGTTGCCTATTGTGAATACGTCAGTTGTTTTAACGTGTGTGATAAATATCAATGGAACGCATGCGATCTAAAAATGGTTGAACTATTTTGTGCATCCAAACAAGTGTGAGCATTTTCAAAAGTTTATAGCTCAAGTTTTCTAGAACTCTGCGAAATGCATAATGATAAATTCTCCCAGAGAGGAAGAATATAAACCCTCTTAGTGAAAGTATACTTATTCTCTCCTCTTCAGCCTATCTTCATCGCGGTCATCTCCTGGTGCTCGATACTGCTATTTGTAATTTTTTTTGAAATAATCGACTGGATCAGGCATTTTGACAAGAATGGATCTTTGAAATATAAATTTTATCAGACATTCCTGTATGGAGAAAATAAGGATATGCCGGACGAGGAGAAGAAAATTTTAATCAATAAGTTTTGGAACTTGTCAAAGTCTACTGCTACAAAGTTCCTTCGGCGAAAAGTAACGGACTTTAAGCCCACCGATAAGGATGGAAAGGAAGAAGCCATTAGTGAAGCGGCGGACACAATGGCAGACTTTGTAATGGTAAGTTATCTTAATTTAATCTCTTTTGGAGGTTTCATGAAAAAATGACCACTATTTTATCTCAAAACTAAAGACGCTCCTTCTAAATTCAATTAATCTGAATATACAAATTATTCACTTGAGTATCCACTATAAGCAACTTTTTAATTTGCTTATAATTACGAATACTTTGCTTGAATTTTAAACCATAGTCAAAAACCGTAGTTCTTTGTGTATTGTAAGCCACTTCCTGCTGTTTCACTCATTTGTGCACTTTTTGCTTGTTCTTCCTATTCAAGAATTTAGATCTTACCGTTACAGACACGCTGATGGGTTTGTTCATTCTTCGCTGGCAGACCACACAATGGATTGGTGGAAAAACCGAAATAGATCCAGAAATTCCCTTACGAACAACAGACCCGGACACCATGACTCTTGCAGAAAAGGTACTGGATACATTGTTTACATGGTGAACGGAGCGCTTAAATCCTATTGTTTTTTAATGCCAGTGTTTCTGCGCTTTGAACCGCCGGATTCTCATACGTACTGTCTATCGTGAACAGTTTTACGATGGTATTTGAATATTTTAGTCAGCTCAAGCAAGGTGAAAAAAATTCTTCATTGTTTAGGCAGCCTTGTGATTTGAGAGCTTATTTTCTCAAATTTCGTCAGCTTCCGCTTCCAGAATCCTTCATTTAATTGCATGTTGTTTTTGAGATCTGAATCAGCACGGACAGTTTGGAAATCTGAAACTATAGGGACACATTTTGTAGAATTCTGTTTCACGTCTTAAAGATTGCAGGAACTTGAACCTAGTCCTCTTCCATGAATAAAGTTGTCTT